GTGGGGCAGGCTAGATGCCTGGGGTGGGGGGGGGTGAATTCTAGGAGAGAGAAGGTTCCCAGGAGCCTGACTGTCCCTCGCAGCCAGCCCAGGGCCTGCTAGCTCTCAGAGGAATTTGTCTGATGGTCTTCTGATCCGGGCCTTCCCAGTCCTGTGGGATTAAGATAGAAAGTCGCGGTTTGCAGCGAGCTGCCCAGTTAGAGACAGACATTCCGCCCTGCCCTTTGATGGGACAATTCTCACAGGCCTCCAGGGGTTTGGATGAACTGGTCAGCTCTGGGAAATCTCTCCCAGACCTGGGCCATCATCCTTCCGGGACCGGCTGGGGGTTGGGCGGTGACGGTGCAGGCTTCAACGCTAAGTCCACACTGAGGAGTCCAGGGCCCCGCCCTCCCCTCCGGAAACTTCCTGTGTCTAGAAAACACGCACCTTGCTCAGCGGCCTGGTACGCGGGGACATGACAGGGCTTGGGGCTAGACGTGGCAGATTACTTTACAATGTTTTTGTATCTGTAAAAGCAGGTGATTTCATCCAATGCCCACCTAATTCCAGCATCTGTGCCACCTGTCGTCAAGGGCAGCCCCCAACGTCTGGCTCCAGGGCCTCCCGGGGCCGTGTGCTCTGTGCCCAGCTCATCGTTCTGGAAGTGTGTCCCGCCCACTTCTACGCAGCTGCCCCCTGGAGCAGGGGGTGCCCACGATGGAGGGCGGGGGAGAGGTGGATAGAGAGACAGAGGGGAGAGAGGTAGAGACGGAGAGAGAGACGGGAGAGCAGAGGGGTGAGTGAGCAGAGGGAGACGGAGCAATAGAGGCGCTGCGGGCTGGGGCACCTCTGGGGCACCCTGGTTCATGTGCCTCTCCCTCTGTTTACCTCTAAGCTCTAGAACACCCATCTCGTAGCTCAAGCCCCTGGGAGCTCTGTTCTGTCCTTGCAGCCCAAGGGTCCCCACCAACACGTGGTGGTGGGGTGGGGGCGACCTCCAAGCAGCCCAAAGAGGCTCTGAGGAGCCACTGGGCAAACCTTCAGCATGTGCTGGCCTTGCTTGATGTGCTCTAGCAGTCAGTGTTCGACCAGATTCACGTGGTCGTGACAGCGCCCAGCACGCCACGTCCTCGGCGTTGCTGCGGGCTCTGATCCTAAGCCCCCTGGGAGCGACTGGCCCAGATGTGGCTCTCGGGTCCGGAAGGTTCCCAGGCAGACGGCGGAGATAAGAGCCCAGGGCCCCTGCTCCAGCTCCGACTCCCATCTGGCGCCCTCGGCCAGAAGCCCGTTATCTCTCCCTCGGAAGAGGAGCCTTGCCTTGCAGTCTGCAGACCTGCGTCAGCCCCGGCGCCGTGGCTGCACTGCCCACACGCACACGTAGCTCTCGCCGTGTTTATGACCGGGTTTCGTTGCCGCTTAGTCGGGTGTTTCCCAGATTCTGAACGGGGGCTGGCAGATTCACATGATCACGTGTCTCTTGTGATATGAACCTTTCCCAGCACATGCCCCAGGGGCGGGATAATGCACACACACCAATAGGAACATGTGGCTTATAAGAGGGACATAATGACCCTAAATAAATGCATGAACAAACAGCACCCAATACATCAGAGGCAAGCAACGCTCATCTCAGGAATGCACAGATGAGTCGCTACATTAAGAGATTAAAAAGAGGAAAATCCTTGAGCATCTCAAAAGAGCGTCCGTTCCGCAAAAGCATTTGGCAAATTGTAACACGTACTACTAAGTTTCAGGCACACACCAGCAGAAATCTGCAGGAAGCTGAGAATGGGAGGAAAACTCCTCAACCTCTAACAAACGTCGTTCTCAGTACACTAGAACAGGGGTCAGCAAACTTCTCCAAAGGGTCAGAGAGCACATAGTTTAGGGTTTTCAGGTCAAATGGCCTCCATCCCAGCTACTTAAAACTGATGCCCCAGTATGAAAGCGCCCATTAGACACAATGTAAATGAATGGGGCTGGCGGCGTGCCAGTAAAACTTAATTTACAGAGAGAGACCACTGTGGGCGGGATCTGGTCCCCAGCCATGCTTTGCAGATCCCCGCCTTGGAACCATTCACCCTGCAGCCCTGAACAAGAAAAAGATAACTGGTCTTATGTTTGAATCCTAGCGAATGTGACAGTACGAGAAAATATAGGTGGAGTACAAATACTAAAAAGACGAGAGATAGAAATACAATTATTTGCATAATTATATCACTGTTTGTCTAGAAAATCTAAAACCACCAACCAGCAAATCATCAGAATTACAAGTGGCCAATTCTAAAGTCAACATACAAAAACAATGACATTTATTAAAACAACAATATATAAAATTACGGTGTTTCATGGGCAAGCGTCCCATTCACGACAGCAATAAAACCCAGAAATAGACCAAGAACTAAGCATATCAGATATACAAGAAAACTGGAACACTTTACTGAAGTTTAAATAAGTCGAGAGACAGACTCACCCCGGAGCCGGACTCCAGACCACCTGCTCATCAGCTTCCAAAGCGCGCCCACCGCTCCGTGTGATCTGGAAAACTCCCGACAGGGGTGGGCAGAAACAATGAGTCCTACACTTCATATGGGAGAGAAAGTGTGTGAGGGTAGCTGAGAAACGCTTCTCCGAGGGTGTGGATGAGGATTCTTCTGCGGAGTCTTCACAGCGGATGCAAACTGGTGCATGGGTCGGGACCGGAAGACCCGGGTCAGGACCGGAAGACCCGGGTCGGCACCACACAGTTCAGGGAACTCAATTGATGACGAAGGGAGCATGTCACGTCGGTGAAGAAAGGGCACCTTTTCCAATAAATGATGATGTGACAACTGGCTGTGCGTTTGAACAAGAAAGCGTTGCACCCTCCAGTACACAGTGCCCTCGCTCACACGTCCCCTTCCACATGGCTGCAGCGTCTCTCTGGGCCCCAGAGATGGGCAGGCTGCCCCCACTGGCAGTTGAGGACAGAGGAGTTCCCAGCCACACCTGCTTCTGGGGGTCCCTCAGGGTGCAGAGGAGTTTGCGACTCGAAAACGGTGTACTAGGCCCAGGAGACCCTGGATAAGGGCCCCTCCCCCCCCTTCTGGATTCTCATGGGCTGGGTCTACATGTAGGGCCCCACGATCCACCCTCTGCAGTTTGGAGGACTCTGCTGGGAGAATTTGCAATCCTGGTCAGAGGCAGAGCCTCAGGGCAAAAAGGGCAAGGGTCATGTGGGGTTAGTGGCCTTTTGGGGTCTCCTTTCGAATCACCAGAAGTCCCTGTGCTGTGTGCTTCCTTCCACAGAGGAGCACCCAGACACCCTCCCCGCCACCCCATCTGTTTGCGGCTCTGTTGATGTTATCATCTAAGAGGGCTGAGAGGAGTCCTTGAAACTGGCTCCCAAACATAAATAAGCAGCCTGTTTAATGAAACAATGTATGCACTCTTTGACATTTGCCAGTGTTGACCTCAGAGACGCCCGTGGGACAGATTCTCAGCCTGTCCTCCTTCTTGCCCCAACCCCCACTTCATCCCTGCAGTTGTGACTGCTGACCAGGCCTCCCTACGGTTGCCCTTTCCATCTCCCCCTCTGCCCCACCCCAGGCCTCCCTCCACGGGGCTGGGAGGTGATTGTGAGTGTGGCTGCAGCCTGGGGACACGACTGGACCAAGCAGCAGGAGCACTGGGCCCCCCTGGGACATGAGGTCTGATCCCCTCTCTGAAGAGGACACACACACACACACACACACACACGCCCCAGCCCTGCAGGTGTCTGTCCCCCCTTCCTCTCTTCACTCTGCTTCCTACTGTGGAATCCCAGCTTCCAGGAGAGCCTCTCTGTCCTTCTTCAGAGACTGCAGGGCTCAGAGTTTTCCCCATGTCTCTCTTACTCCAGGGCTGGGGTTCAGGTGTCCAGCACTGGGACTTCCAGGAACTGTGGGGAAAGATGAGACCCCAGGGCCCAAAGGAGATTGAAGCAATGGCCCCAGGACTCACAAACCACCCCAGCCTGGACTTCAGGCCAAATGGAGGTTCCTTCCCTTTTTTTAGGGGATGGTCCTGCGGCTCTTCTTTGGGGGAGCTGAGCCAGTCCGGGGGGAGGTAGCTCTGGGTGTTCCCAGGGCAGGAAAGATGTGGGCCCAGGTCTGAGACACCCAGCTCCTTCGTCCTATCTAGAGGATTCTCATATGGCCCTGTTCCCTTCCTCCGCTTTTCCCTCAGTCCCACCAGAGCCGTGAGGCTTGGGAAGAAAGGGCTCTCCTGCCCTCTGGTGGCCAAGTGGGTGCGGATGGACGCTGCTGGGAGTCGCCTGTGAGCCAGCCGGTTCTCCAAACTGCACACCCAGTCAATAAATCTTAACCATCAGAGACTGTTGTGCAGAAGGAAGCTAGTTCCAGTTATTGGTATAAAGATTTCTTTTTCCTCTTAATGAAACACGCGTAAAACCTCTCCCAGTCATTCCTGGTAAAGACCATAATTCAGGAGTCTTTCAGCAGAGGCGGCAGGGTAGGGGAGAAGAGAGGAAACACTCTATCGGGTGACAGGTAATGAACTGGGGAGTGGGTGGCCGGCGTGGACAGCCCCGGGCCACTTTCTCCGGGAGGCGTTAGAGGAGGAAACAATGGTGCGAGGGCGGCACAAGACACCTCGACCTCCTGGAATGGGCAGGGGAAGAGTCACCATGTGGAGCCCGGGGACTGGAGCGAGCCCGGGCACGTGCCTGCAAGGCCCGAGTGCGGCCCCAGCTCCCCCTCACTGGCCAGGAGCACGACCCAGACCTCAGGCCGCGGCCCTCCCCAGCCCGCAGGAGGCGACGTTCGCGCTCCAGAACGCGCGGCCCCGCCCACTTCAATGCCCGTACGACGTCCCGGGACCCCGGCTACTGCCGGAATTTGACTCTGGAGACGTCCAGGCTCCGGAGGACGCCGGACGCTCGTGCGGGGCGGGATCTGCGGCGTTGCCGTGGCTACAGATGATGCTATCCGCGGGGGGGAGGGAACTCCGGGAGGGCGCTTCCGGGGCGGGGCGTGCTCGCCGGAAGTGCGTGGCCGCCCGGGGCCATGGCGGCGCTCGGCGTCGTCTGCTTGCTTCTCGGGGCAGTGTCCTGGCAGTCGGCCTGGGGCTCGGGCGAGGAGTTCTGGCCCGGCCAGTCGGCGGCCGACATCCTGTCCGGGGCAGCGTCCCGCAGAAGGTAAATGCGCTTCCACGCAATCGGTGGGAATCTCGGGGCGGTGGGGGGGCGGATCTGAAGTGGTGGGGGCGGGGCTCGTGGCCCGGGGCAGGGCTAGTGGCCGGGGGCAGGGAGAGGTGGACGCGAGCCTGGGGTCTCCTGGCGGTCGCGACCCCAGGAGACTCCGGGAAGGCCTGGCTGTGGGCCAGGGTTAAGGGGCAGGCCCGAGGACCCTGGGAGATGATGCGGGCTCTTGCCCGGATTTCTCGGAGTCTCAGAATCAGATGTTCGAGGGGGGTGGTTCTTAAGGAATCGCAGCCTAGTTTATCTGCACGGAGTCTTTCAGTCTCCATCCAGATAGTGGAAGTTCAAGTCTCAGGCGTAATAAAGTAATGATCAGTGCAGGTCATCTTGGTACAAAACAGACCCTGTGCTGGGTTAGGGTTAGGGAGGGTTAGGGTGCCGAGATGGTAGATGGGTCCTTCCTTTGGGTGTTTGCAGGGATTACACCCGGCTTCATCAGTGGTAACAGAAGTTGTGGGGAAACCCAGTGTGGAGAAGAGAGCAGTGAGGCTGGCGGTAACTCTTGTGGTAGAAGCTGAGCGCCCCTACCTGGGTTTCTAAAGTTGTAGCGTGGCTTTGGAGAGGGCGGCAGCTCTCAACAGTGTGTTGGGGACCCCCTGAGGCGTCATGCCACATTTGTAGTAATACCAGGATGGTCCTTGCCTTTTTCACTTTTCCCCACGGGTGTGTTGGGAGGTTTTTCCAGAGACCACCAGTGATACCACAACACATTGAACGCAGCAGCAGATGCGAGAATCCAGCTATCGCCAGACCGAAAGGAGACTTGCAAAAATTACAAACATTGCCGCTGTTTTCACCAATTATTTTTGTCTTGACAAATATACTTTCTATTTATTTTAAAATGTTAGTGACAATGTGTAATAGGTTTATTCTTTCTGACATGCTTACGTTAACACAGGAACTATGTATAGTGTTAACACATGTAAACCACAGTCTTTTGGGGTCCTCAGTAATTGTTAGGAGCTTGACGTGGGCTGCAGACTGCTGGACTTAGTTGTGGATTATCACTAGTTGTTAAGCAGATGCTGCTTCTGCTTGTGGGCTCTGTAAGTCATCGGTCAGATGGAAGCAGGTGGGCAGCTGCCTCCACTGCACAGACTAGAAGCCCCAGGGTGGGCAGTCAGATGTGGATTGCGGGTGCGTCCGGGTTTCCTGCCCAGAAGCCTCCTCACTGAAGCATCGCTGTCCTGCTCCTCCCTGCCAGGTACCTCCTATACGATGTCAACCCCCCAGAGGGTTTCAACCTCCGCCGGGATGTCTACATCCGCATCGCCTCCCTCCTGAAGACCCTGCTGAAGACCGAGGAGTGGGTGCTGGTGCTGCCCCCGTGGGGCCGTCTCTACCACTGGCAGAGCCCTGACATCCACCAGGTCCGGATTCCCTGGTCCGACTTTTTTGATCTTCCAAGTCTCAATAGAAACATCCCTGTCATTGAGTACGAGCAGTTCATCGCAGGTGAGGCGGTGGCTCTGCTGTGCACGGTGGGCCAGGCCGAGAGCCCAGCCAGCGGGCTTTCTCATTGTGCCCCTTGTCGCTTTTGCTCCATGGAGGGGCCCTGTAGCCTTCCGCTTCCCGCACTGCACAGTGGGCTTGGTCTTGCTCAGTTTTTCTAAAGAAGCAGATCTGGAGTGAGTGAGCTCTGTACCCCCTCGCCTCTGGCAACCGCGCTAGCCTGGTGGGCGGGGGAAGCGCAGTTAGGACTGCGGCGAGACGCCGCTGCTGCAGAGGGGCTGTCCCCGCGGGACTCGGCTCCCTGCGCAGGAGGGGTCATTCTGCCTGAAGGGGAGCACGACGCGTGTGTGGCCCTGACCTGGGGTGCCCACTGCAGTGCCGGTGGAGACTTGCAGCAGTACGTTGTTTCGTTTAGTCCCGCTTAGTCTTCCCTTTTTAGTTTTTTAGAGAGAAAAGAGTTGAAGATTTTCTTAGAATAAAGGTATTTAGAACTTACTGTTGCTTTGTTTAGAAGACATAAACTTAAAAAGTCAGTGATACCTCTTTTCCGGTTCTCTAGGGAGGCCTAGGCAGCCAGTCAGTCTGCAGGCCACTGATACACTGTGACGTTTATTGATGAGCCGCAGTCTCTCAGCTGCTGATACTCTGTAACCGTCCGTGGTGGGTCAGGTCTCTGTGCTGCCCATACTGTGGAAGGTTGTTGGAGTTCCTGCTCTGCAGGGACCCCGACAGCTTAGAATCGGTGCCCGTACTGAGGATGGTGGCTCGCACATCTTCGTTTTTCAAGTTCTGTCCTCGCCGCACCGCAGATCCTGTCACTTGGCTAGGGCTCTGTGTCGGAGTCAGCCCTGTGAGTGCGGCAGGCCCAGAACGACACGGGGAGCATCTGCTCGGAAGAGGCGAACCCTGAGGCTGTACAGGGCATTCCTGGGACACTTTCTCCCCCACCCCGAGATGAGAGATGTAGCCGGGTGTTTCATCCGACCTGACTTAGCCTGGGAAACCGTCTGCCCTTGGCCTGAGCGCGGGTTACAGAGCCTCACAGACAACCTGCCCTTCACCTTCCTGCAGGGTCGGGTGGCGGGTGCCCTGACAGGTGGGCACAGGGGTGGGTCTGGGCCTTAGCCACTTGAGGTTGTGCCTAGTGACCGGAAGCTGCGAGGACGTGGGGACGGGAGGCAGGTGTCCTCCCTGCTGCTCCCCGGACTCCACCCCCGGAGCTGGAGCTGCCAGGCGGATGACATGATGTACTTGGAGGCGGGCCAGACGGCTGTGCCTCCACCCTGTCTGACCAGCTGACTCTGCTTAGCTGTTTCCTTCCCTTCAGAGGGAGACAGGCCGGGGCGCATCCTAGGATGGGGCGCTGGGGCGCGTGCGGTAGAGCATCCAGCACGTCCCAGCCTCTTGGTGTCGCACCGCTTCCTCCTCGCTGAAGGGGAGCTCCTGGAGCTCTGGCGTCAGGTGGACGCCACTGCTGTGTGGATGTTAGCGCCCGAGCAAGAGTGAATGTGCGGAAGACACCAGAGTTTCACTTGCTGGCGCTCTCTTGTCATTTGGCTTGTTCACTCTATCTTTGGACAAATCTTGGACCACCACAGACGTAGAGGACACATTCTAGGTGTGGGCAGGAGGAGCAGGTAAGGGGGGCCTAGGCCCCTGCTCTCCTGGAGCTCCTGTGGGGAGCGAGGAGCAGCAAGTAAAGAAGTGAATGAGTCGTCGAAGCATGCAGCATTTGAGGTGCTGGAGAGTGTGTGGAGAGGAGGGCAGCAGGAGGGGGTCCCGCAGTGTCGGAGAGGCGGGTGGCCGTGGCCTGGGAACGTGTCCGGGGAGGTGTAGTTTGAATGGCCTCACAGGGGTCGAGAGCAAGCCCTGGGGGGTAGGGGGTGGGGGGTGGTCCAGGCAGGGGTTGCTGTTCAGAGGCCCCAGGGAGGGAGCGTGCTGATGCCCTGGAGGCACAGTGGGGAGGCCAGCCAAGGAGGAGTCCGGGAGAGGAGGATGAGGGAGTGAGTGGGGCCTGTGGCTGGCGTGAGGGAAGTGGGGGTGCAGGGCTGAGGGGAAGCCCGAGGGCGAGCCCAGGTGCTGGAGGAGGTCAGGGCGATGGAGAGCTCACAGGAGCACCCGAGGCCTGGATGAGCTCCAGCAGCCCGAGCTGAACCCCTCACCCGCTGCGGGGACCCTGTGCCCCGAGGTCATTTGTTCCGTGCTGGCTCCACTTCGGTGAGCTTCCTCCAGCCCTAGGAGAGAAGGGGACCTTAAACAAAGTGACGATTCTTTGTCCACGGTGGTCCACTGCGGGCCACACGTGCGCTTAGGTTCCTGTTTACTGTCAGTGCCCGGTCTCTTCCAGAGTCCGGAGGGCCCTTCATCGACCAGGTGTACGTCCTGCAGAGTTACGCGGAAGGCTGGAAGGAGGGGACCTGGGAAGAGAAGGTTGACGACCGGCCCTGCCTCGACCCGCTGCTGTATTCGCAGGACAAACACGAGTACTACAGGTAGGACGTGGTGCACCTTCCTCGTGCCCGGTGCCAGGTCAGAGGTCATCCCGCAGCATCCGGAGTGGCACAGGTGGCCGCGTGACCACATTCCTCACCCGCCAGCTGCTGCCTGCTTCCTAAGGGGGAGGTCTCCTCTCAGCCTCCCAGCAGGGCGCCGGCCTCCTTGTCCCCTGTTCACAGAGGCCTCGGGCCATCTGAACAACACCCGACTGAGACACGTTTACCTTTCCCAGTGTTCGTTGCGCTTGAACCAGGTCCTGGAAATGGCGGTCTTGTCACCGCAGTTGTAAGTTGTCATCAGAGGACCTCTCAGTGGGAGGGCTGCCACCTCAGTGGCTGTGACACTCTGCGGGACACCGCAGCCCTTGGGAAGAGCTGTGTTGTAGGGACTGTCGCCGCCACAACTCGGGCACCGAAGCGTGAAGGGTCACTTCCATCCAGGTCCTTCTGGGCTGCCCCTGCCTTTCCGCCCCTGTACCATCCCAGTTCCTGGAGGGAACCTCAGTGGTCTCTTGGGGTCAGGTGAAATTGATGGTTTCTTCAAAAGTTCTTGCACAGACGCCCCTCCCTCTGATCACGACCAATGAGCGGTCACCACGGGAAACACGGAGCGTATCGAGGTCGAGGTGACGCGTGTGCATCCAGGTGTCACTCACTGCCTGTGGCAGTCAGCCGAACTGAGGGCTCCTGTGGCTCTTCTTTTCCAGAGGATGGTTTTGGGGTTACGAAGAAACAAGGGGTCTAAACGTGTCCTGTCTGTCTGTTCAAGGATCAGCGTCTGTCATCGCGCCTGTGCTCTTGAGAAACACGTCAGCACGGTAGGTGCCTGCGCTGTCCGCTCCGTGACGGGCCAGTATGTGAGTGTGTGCACGTGTGAATCTGTGCATGTGTGTGAATGTGCATGGATGTACCTATGCATGCATGGGTGCATGGGTGTGCATGTGTGCACATGTGGGCGTGCTCATGTGAACAGGTGCACTGTGAGTATGTGCATGTGTGGCTGTGTGCACGTGTATGTGCATGCGTGCACTCTGTCCTGGTGGCATCGAAATGCCTCATGGCTGTGACCTGTGTGGGGTCACTGGAGAGTTAGACCTTGTCCCCTCCCCTACACTCACCTCGCACAGCTGGGACAGGTGTAGGCATCCAGGAGGCTGCGTGTGTCCCTGGGGAAAGGCCCCCGGTTTGGCTCAGCGGCACCGAGGCCGTGCTGCTGGTGCCTTCCGTGGTCCCCACGGATGGGTGCTCCTCGGAGCTGCCACTCCTTTGAACCGCATGGCGGGGTCACACTGCCAGTCCTACGGCTGGCGGCTAGTGGAGTCAGACTCACGCCTGTTTCAGTCGGGGCCCCTGTCTGAGGCGATGGAGACCGGCTGAGGCCCCGCTGGGTGCATTGGGGGTGAAAGGGGCCTTTGGGGGAGGGGCAGTGAAAAGGGAGGGCAGGGATGGAGGTGGTGGCTGGACTAGGAGGGGCACCCATTTTATTTTCTTCATTGTCCTGGTGATGGCCAAGCGCTCCGTGGCAATGGGGACACGTGGCTGAGGCAGGTGAGGTCAGAGACAGCGCAAGGGCAGGGCTGGGAGGATTCTGAAATGACCCACCGTGATGCTGGGGTTCTGGGGCATCCAGCCGGAGCTGGCTTGAGTGCCTGGTGGTGCAGGAGCCTGATGCTTCCCATCTGGGTCACTTCTGCAATGAGGCTTTCCCGTGCAACCCCTTGAACCTGACCTTGGTGAGGTCAGAGAAGTGTCTGGAGCTTCTCCCAGAAATGCTTCTTTGGGCAGCTGCTTCTGGCCACTCCTGCTGGAAGTGTATCACACACCGCCCCCCACCCCCCCCATCCCTGGCGGCCTGGTGCCTCTCAGACTGCATTAGCCCTCACTCGCCACTGGGTGGCGCCAAGAGGTGCCGGGGAAGGCGGGAGTCCACCAGCTTGGTTTGTGAAACAGACTCGGGAGCGGGACAGGAGCTTGGCAGCCAGGCCGTCATGTTCTTAGAAGTGTCCTGCAGGCTGAGTTGCTGGGGACATGGGACCCTGAAATAAGGAGCCCCTTCTGAGCTGCCTTTCGTCTGAAGCAGGCACATGAGGGCAGGCCTCTCGTGACAGCCGCACTGATGCCGTTGAGCCCTGGGAAGCGCAACTGCGCCTCGGGAAGTCTTTGTGCGTCCCCGAGGCTGGACTGATTCCCTGCGGGTCACAGCAGGACCACAGTCCTGCCCGGGTGGGTGCACCGGGACGCCAGGCAGGGCCCCGCCTCCTCCCGTTCAGCCCAGTTTCTCTGCCTTAGGGCCACCGGGGAGCGAGCTAGGTAGGCCTTGGTAGGCAGAATGCAAGTGGGCCTGTCACAGGCCAGCAGACCTCCGCTGAAGGAACCAGGTCTTCACTTATGGAAAAGTAGGCGCACAGACTGCGGGGCCCGGCGGTGAGCTCTAGCTTTACTGGTGTCCTGAGCAGCACCCTCACTAAGAAACGTCCGGGTTTCAAAAGCAGAGCTGACTGAAGTCGGGGCCTGAGAGACACGTAAGCTCACTGGGCACTTTCTCTGAGTCCCACGGGTAAGAACCCAGTGAGCACAGAGGGGACACGACATGCCCAGGGGGCAGGCCCCTCGATGCAGGAGCGAGGGCAGCGGGGAAGGGCAGCTCCCGACGCACAGGTGCCAGGACAGCTGGGGCAGAGCCGTGGCGTAACAGCCCGCACAGTGGAATGCTCGCCTCTGCGGGCAGCGCCGTGTTCCACTGTGAAACGGGCCCTTCTCGCGCCATGCACAGGGGCTGCTGCTGTGTCCAGCCACTCCCGTTTCTTTCCAGAGCTTCCTGTCTCTATCAAATGTTTGGGTGTGTGCACCCCTCTTTCATACACAAATGGAGTCACGCTCTGCGTTTCGTCTGCGAGTTTGATGTCCCTCGGTGTGGAGACCCCGGGGGCCACGGCGTTCTTCTGCGGTGGTCTCTGCCCAGATGTACAGGACTTAACCGAACCAGCCCAGGGAGGTGGTCTCTGGTCGGTTGGTTGGTTTTTGGTGTTACAAACAGGAAACATTCGTGAGCAAATGTGGGGGAGGGGAATTGGAGGCTCGGACCCAGAGTAGGAGTGGCTGGGGCTGTGGGTGTGCTGTGTGCACGGCACCAGTGGGGCCCATCCCCACGCGGCCACCGGGGCAGGGAGCTGAGGTCTCCAGAGGGTGAGTGAGAAGGGGATCTCTACTGTTTGTGCTTCTTTGATTTCAGAGTGAAAAGCTCCTCTGAAGTTTTTCTGAACCTGTTGAAATCTTGCCAATTTTTGTCTCTCTCTCTGTTCTTTACTGGTTTCTGGGGTTTTTCCCCAACCTTTTCCATCCCAGTATCCTTAATCCCTTCAAGTTCCACTTGCATAGTCAGAGCTCCCGCATTTTGCTTCGACCATGGAGGCCTGGTTCTATTGGAGGGAAGCCCCGGCCACCTGCCCCGTCTCCCCAGCACGGCCTTCTCTCCGGGTCTCCCCTGCCCCCGCGTCACCCGTCCCCAGCGGATGCGGCCCCTTTCTGGAGTGTCCCCTCTGTGCGTGCTGATGCCGCACGTGGTTTGGTGATCCCCTGTAGCACAGCCTCTCCCGGCCCTCGCTTTGGGGGGCGGGAACAAACGGCCTTCACTGCAGACGGTGCCAGCTTTGGCTTGAGAAACACAAACGGCGTAAGAAGTTCCTTGCCCCTGTTTTACTGGACCATTCTTTAAAGCTCAGGGTAGATACTCCCATGCTTTTGTGGAAGCCACCGCGATGTGGCTTCGCCCTTCACCTGCTGACGTGTGGCGTTGAGTAGCAGATTTTCTGTTGCTGAACTTTCGTTCCTGGTGTGAACCCCGTTGGTTGTGTGGGTCACTCCTCCAGTAGCCTGCCGGCGTCTGTTTGCTGGTTTTGTTCGATTTGGCTTCTTTTCTGCATCGGTAGTCACACGTAGGCTCGTGACCCCTGGTGCAGGGGCTGGGGCAGGAGCGACCCCGGGAACGCTTAGAGCCACGTGGACATTAGAACCCTCTCGGAACTGTGGTGTGGGGGCCAGGCAGCTGCTGCTTAGAGGGTCAGCAGCAGCCTCCCACTCGCACCCCGGCGGCCCACCAAGTCAGCGCCCTCTCAGAACTCACCCCGGTGGCCCTGGCCCGGGACCCCCGTGCTGACGGCGCTGTCTGGAGCGCGTGAGGTTCAGCAGCCGTTTCTGAAGCTAAACCCTCTCTGTTCCTGTTGTTTGCAACCAGGTCCGTGATGCTAGACCGAGCCGAGAACCTGCTGCACGACCACTACGGCGGGAAGGAGTACTGGGACGTGAGTGCTGCCCGGGCTCGTCCCTGGGCGTCTCTCGGTGTTTCGGTTGGTCCGGGGTTTGTTCATGTGACACCGTCCGCCGCTCTTGACGTCAACCTCGCTGCCCGAAAGAAACCTTGAGCTCTGAGTGGTGCGGGGTGCGGGTGTGGCTGTGAATTCCTTCCCCCCACCACGCTCAGGGTGCCCTGGGGTAAGGGCTGGGGCATGGCCAGGTCTCGGCGTGCTGGTCCCGGGTGACTGTCGGCCGCTCTGAGCCTGCATCTGCCCGTCCCCTCCCACCGCCCCCTTCAGTGTGTGCGTTCAGGGCTTTTCCTGCTCGTCTCTCTCCGGCTTTGGCGAGCAGGGAGTTTTCTGCCACGAGGGCTCCATCTCTGCCTCCGTGGGGCGCTGGCTCCGGGTGGCGTGACGCCGCGGCATCGGAGAGCGGCTTCTCTCCTGGCGGCAGTGTGCTGCGGACGGGGGTGGCGTGGCGGCGGCTGGCTCATCGGGCCGCTGGCTCAGAAACGAGGCGCAGTCCTCGCCGCCGTGGGGCAGGCAGGAAGCATGCCCTGAGGAAAGCCGGTGGCTTCGAGGCGGGACACTGTTCCAGCCTCTCCGGGGCAGGGCCCGGCCTGGTGGGCTCTGCTGGGCGAGGAGGGGCGGCTCTCCCCGAGGGGGCTGCGTGCAGGTGTCCCGAAGGATGGGGGGCGGGGTGGGGGACACGGGGACACTGCGAGGGGCACCTGCCCTGCCGGGCCGGCTCAGCCCCCTCGGCTCCCAGCGTCACCCAGACCCTAGCATGTGGGGAGAGACTGATTCTCAGGAGACGTTGGTGCTGGGAAAAAAAATAAACGTTTTAAGGTGAATTCCAGCTGTCTTAAAGAAGAAACATTGAGCTCACCTTCCAGGCAGCTGTTTTCTCCCTCCCGTGGGGTTTGGGTGCCCTCCGCCTGGCCACCTCGCAGGGGCCCCGTGTAAGGACAGTTTGTGGGGCCCTTTGCGCTCTGGCGCCCCCTGGCTGCCGTGGCGGTGCCCTTGGGGGCAGCCCTGTCATGCAGTTGGCTTGATTTTTGTCATCTTCGAGGATTCCCAGGTGTGTTCATTGAGGAGCTACAGATTTGTTATTTACGGCAGCCAATTTCTTTAAAGGGGAAACAGCACTTTGCATTCAGGAAGGTGCAGTTGTTGTCCCGTTGTGTGTACATCTGGCATGCGATAAAGGGCAGCGCCCACGTAGCTTCTCAGCCATAAAGTAACTGGCTCGCTCTCCTCCTGGGGGCGCCCACACCCTGTTGCTGTGGGCCAGGAGGCTGAAGAAACGGGAGTCACGTTCCCCCTGCAGCCGCAGACCTCCTCTGTGGTCAGGGTCCACCCCGTCCAGGGCTGTGGGGCCTCCCGTGGGCAGGCTGGGCTGGGCTGGGCCAGGCCGGGCAGAGGCCAGGTGAGGCCCCTGCTCCCTGGACACGTGACCTGGGCGCCTCCTGGGCGGGTCGTTTCAGAAGCACGGATTGCCATCGTTGTCACTGTCGATGTAGCAGTTCTGTGCCTTCAGCATGGTGGGCCCCCACTAGCCGTTCAGGTCCCCCTTCAGGAGCCAGTCACGCTCAGTCAGGGCTTGGCCCTGCCAGGGAGGGCACGGGGTCGTGGCTGTTGGCCCGCAGAGCCCGTCGTGGGGTAATGTCCTCGTGAGCGCTCCCCTCACCGACCGACTCGCTGACGGTTGCTGCCTCGTCACCCTGCTGGAGGCCCCGTGGCTGAGGAAGGACCGCGCACGGCTCCACCCTCCCGAGCGCCAGCTTGGTGTCCGTGGCGTTTCCGTTAGATTTGGGGACTGGGCTCCGGGTGTGGCGGGGCCCCAGGGGCCTGTTGCGGGGGTCGGGGTGGGGGCCGAGCGGGCGCCCACCTGCGGGCACACGGGCTGGGCGCTCGCTCAGCTGGACTGCCTCTGCCCCCAGACGCGGCGGAGCATGGTGTTCGCCAGGCACCTGCGGGCGGTGGGCGATGAGTTCAGGAGCAAATACCTGAACTCCACGGACGAGGCCGACAGGATCCCCTACGAGGAGGACTGGACCAAGATGAAGGTAGTTTCTGTCTCTTTTTAATTTGGGGAAACATAAACTGTCCTTTTAGATACGTAATAATAAACCCCTTACTTTGCAGCAGGTGGGGTGGCACGATTGTCACCTTCCGTGTCACCTCCCTTAACACAGTCCCCACTCATTGCTGTAATTCCCGTGGAGGCCACTCACCAGGACCCCCTCCCCCCACACACACACACACACTGGCCAGCGCAGGGTCAGGGCAGTTGCTAGGACCCCGTCTCTGCGGGGGAGGGAATGGGAGATGACCGCAGGGTCCAGCAGCCCCGAGGGGCGCTCTGGGAGGGAGACGGTGGTGACGGTGCTGGGTCCGCAATACAAGACTGTATTGTGTCCGTGTTTCCTGCTGTACGATGCAAGAGCAGTAAAGGGGGGAAAGCAGGCCTCACCCACACCTCCCCAAAGCACTGCTTAGCCTCTCGGTCTGTCCACCGTCATCCCTTTCAAGAATTGTTTTTCTGAAAGGTTGGGTTTTCCTGTAATTTTAACAAATCAAATGTTGCTTTTTCAAAGTTGTGGTTTTTAGCGGCAAACTGTTCCATAGAGGGGAACGCCATCTCACCTGTCTGTTCTCCTGTGGGGCGCTGGCTGTTTTCACGGGGGGTGGCGTCGTGCGGGCACTTGGTTGTAGGTGTGCGGGTGGTCTTCACCAGAAAAACACACTAAGTGGAAGGCTTTCGTCTTGTGTCCAGTTTGTATTATTTTTTGCAGTGTTTTATCCACTCCTTCACATTCAGATCAGAGGGTGTGATAATCAGTGACTCCGGCCTTAGAAAGACCCCCTGTCCACCCGAGAGCCCCCGGGGGGGACGCACAGAGGAGGGCGCAGAGTGTGGGCCACGTGTCCACTCCGCATCCCCGAGGGCCAGCGCCTGGACGCTGACACAGCTCGCAGGCCCGCCTCATCGGGTCCTTGTCCTCCTCTGCCAGGTCCGGCTGGGCTCCTCGCTGGGGGGCCCGTACCTTGGCGTCCACCTGAGAAGGAAAGACTTCATCTGGGGCCACAGGGAGGACGTGCCCAGTCTGGGCGGCGCCGTGCGGAGGATCCGCAGCCTCATGGAGAGCCACGGGCTGCGCAGGGTGTTCGTGGCCACAGACGCCGTCAGGACAGGTGAGCGGGGCTGGCCTCCGCCCGTCCATTCCTGCCCCAGCTGCATTCCGGGCGGACCTGGGCGCGCACACTGACCCCTGACTCTTGGAAGGGAGCCCGGAGTCTTGTGGGTTTGCCCTCTTTGCCTTTTCAGCCAGTTCCCGGTCATCCTGGAGGGCCGACGCCTGCCGGCGCCTGTGTGTCCCTGCTCAGTGCGTCCTTCTAACCCGCAGAGTACGAGGAGCTGAAGAAGCTGTTGCCGGAGATGGTGAGGTTCGAGCCCACGTGGGAGGAGCTGGAGCTCTACAAAGACGGGGGCGTGGCCATCATCGATCAGTGGATCTGCTCCCACGCCAGGTGCGCCGGGCCGAGGGCACGCGGGTTGTGTTTCACGAGGTTCACGAGTCTCTAGTGCTGGACAGGACAGGGCGAGCCCCTTGTCTGCACCACAGAAAAAACACTTGCAGTAAAATGGAAGTTAAGAGTGGAGGAGCAAGTTTTCCTTCTGTCCTCGGGGTGCTCAGACCCCTGGGGGGCTGTGCGTGTTCGGCTTTCATGGGTCGGCACGTGCGTCTGTCCTCGGGCGTGTGGGTGCTGCAGGAGAGGCCCGGGGACGCGCTCCTGCGGGGCGAGAGGCCCTTTTCCTCTGCTGAGCAAGGGGAGTTGGGGGCGGGCCCAGCCCCGGCAGGGATTGAGGTGGGTCGGGGCCGAGAGACTCGGCCAGCCCCCTCCCCTCCGGCTGCTGAGCCAGGGCCTGACAGCCCTGCCTCCTCGGCCCCCAGAGTTCTGTGGATGTTTTGAGCTCAGTGCTTCTGCCACCTGCTCTCCACAGACCCAGACCTGGTGGACGTCTTGTGGGGCAGAGTCTGTGCCTTTGCTCCGAGACCGCCGTCCTGGAGGGGGCTGGCGGCTGCAGGTGTGGTTTCTTCCCACCGACCGCCCCAGCCTCGTGGGTGGTCCTGAGCCCTTGGCTGTCGGAGCCGGACTCCAGCAGGTGTCTTGAGTCTGCCTCCTGCAGGGCTGTCTGTCTCCTGAGCCCCCGAGACTCGGCCAGACCCCCCAGCCTGGCCTGTGGGCTCCTCCAGTTCCTGCTCCATCCCGCCAGCCCTGGCCACTCGGCCGTGATGACAGCCACAGGGTGCCGGGGCCTGGGCAGGTGTCTGGGGGTCTGTGAGCACACAACCGGTTCCATGCGACCCCGGTGACCTCCACTGTTGCTTTGCAGGTTCTTCATCGGCACCTCCGTCTCCACGTTCTCCTTTCGGATTCACGAGGAAAGGGAGATCCTGGGCCTGGACCCCAAGACCACGTACAACCGCTTCTGTGGGGACCAGGAGAAGGTGTGCGAGCAGCCCACGCACTGGAAGATCGCGTACTAAGCCGGCGCCCTGGGGGCCCCGTGCCCTGCCCCCGTTTCACACGCAGTGGGCTCGCCGGCTTCCCCTGAGGACACACGTCGCCACGGGGTCGCTCCTGCCCCTGGCCAGCAGCTAGACAGACCGACCGTCCCGGCTCAGGGTCTCGGGCCCAGAGGCCACGCACGTGGGCACAGTGCGCCGCCTCACGGGCCACAGTGTGCGCCACGCTGCCCCTGGAGCTGCCGTTCCCCGGGGACTCTGGTGTGTGTTCTGTCAGGGTCTGAAACCCCCGTGTCAGCCGCCAGCAGGGCCGTACCCCGCAGTCAGGAGGGCTGTCCCAGTGAGTCGAGGGCAGGCCTGGCGTGGGAGCGGCGCCCACCCCAGGGGGCTGCAGAGCCGGGAGGGTCTGTGGGTCAGTCGTCGTAACTCCTGTGTCAGCCCCAGAGCAGAGCCCTTCGCTCTGTCCTTTCGCCCCGAGTGTGACCTCGTGTGAGCTGGAGGTAGGCGACCCGCCGCCTCACAGAGCCAGGTCAGGGGTGGGGGGCCTGGGAAGTGATCCCTCTCCTCTCCGGGTCAGAGTGCTGGAAAGTTCCACGGCAGGTCTGCAGTGATTTGGCCTGTTCCTGTGGAAACTGGTCCATCTTCACACCGTTGTCCAGGTGGCTGCCTGTGCGTTTGTGACGGCCACTGCAACATGCACCGACAGGGGCCAGCACTTGTCTGAGGAGCCCCCGGCTCGCCCCCCTTGCTGGCAGGGATGGGGCTGGGAGGGGCCTGGCCGGTGAGCTGCTGTCCTCGGGCTCCGCCCTTCCCCGGGACCTGTTCTCAGGGCCTCAGGCTGCTGCCCCTGGTGGGGAGCCACCAGGCCCATGGGTCGGCCCCACCCTGTCCCTTCGAACTGGGAGCCCTGACTAAAGCGACACCTGGGCGAATGGCCGTGGGCGGTGCACGTGGGGCCCTTCTGCTGCGCCTGGAGGCCAGGACGCGGCGGGGTCGAGGCCCGTGGCCTCGGGTGCTCCATCTCCTTCCCAGGCTTCTGACGTCTGCCCCGAACACTCCCAGGGCCCGGAGCTGTCACAGCTGTGCCGGGCGAAATGATGAAATATTTATTCTATTTCCATTTGTACATTCAAGTATTAATAAAGTAAATTTTCTAGAAAGCTGGAGTCCTGAGATCCTCTCTCTGGGCTGCTGGAAGGGCCCCACAATCTCTGTCCCCTTTTCTCCCCTGTCTGCACCTTGCGACAACTTCCCCTCTGGCTCCCTGGTCCCATCCCCCACCTGGGGCCTGGGGGCCAGGTGGCCCCGCACACTGGGTTGGCAGAGGATAAACTTCTGGGAGCCTGAGAGTGAGCATTCTGATGGTGGGGACGTGGGAACACACCTTGAAACAGAACCGAGAGCGGGGGCTGCTGGGAGGGGAGCCTGGGCTGCAGAGGAGGGGTCCCGAGCACCGCCCAGTAGAGGGTGCTGCGGCACACAGCACCAACTCCGCCTGCAGGGCCGGCTGGGCTGGTGCAGGGTGAGCACACAGGCCCCTGGTCCGGGTGGGGGGCGGGGGGCGTGTCAGAGCTCCAAGAGGGTGGATGAGGTATGTCACTGTGCATCTGTGCCTGGGCCATCTGGTGGAGGAGGGGCTTTGAGGAGCAGGAACAGCTGGGCAGAGGCCCCGAAGGCACTCCCATCTGGCTGGGTCAGGCAGCAGAGGCAGGTCCTGGCAGCCCAGGCAGTGATTCGTGGGGCATCCGGGCCAGGGAGGCGGGACATGGGTCCCCAGGCCAGCAGAAAGGGGGCTGGGCCGGGAGCAGAGGCTGGGGCCAGAAAGGGACGGGAAGGTCACCAGGAGTCCCCACAGGGCCCAGGCCAAGCTGGGCTCCGGTGAGAGACATTGGACAAGTTGAGCCCCTCTCTTTGCCGAAGGCTACAGGAGGACAGGGAGGGGAGAGCCAGGGGGCTCAGATGCCCCCGGGGCCTGGGTCTCCTGGGTCAGGTCCTGGGTGGACAGTGGGCGGTTTCCCGAGCTGGGGGTCGGAGCAAACTGAGGGGCCACAGGAGACTCCCCAGCCCACAGTCCCTCAGCCCACCCCTGCTCCTGGGGGACCTGGAGACTGTGGCTCCCACCAGGAGGTGGGACCCTTGGCAAGGGGGCAGAGCCCTTCCCACCTCCTCTGTGGGGACCCCCCACCCACCCAGCAACGCCTCCTCCCGCCGATTCTGACAAACCCACTCATCATCCATTTGCAACCATTTCCACTTAATCTTTTAAAAACAAAGGCGGGCCACTGAAGGCAGAATTGGGACTTTGCAGAGATGCCCTCATCTCTGCAGGCTTTGGACCTGCGGGCTGGGTGGAGTGACATCACAGAGGGGGGCCTGCACTTTGGGGGTTCGATATTCTAATCCTTTGGTGACCTCAAGGGAAGGCGGCAGCTCTAGTGAGGGGGCCTGACATCAGATAAATGCTCCCTCCGCTCAGGTGAGCCCTGCCCTCCTGCCTTCCCTGTTCTCTGTAATTAAACCGGGTCCTTGTTCAGGGAGGCAGTGACACAGCCAATTAACTCTGGATGCACTGTGACCAGCGATGGAAGAAACCCGGCACTCAGCCGTCCTGCACAACCATGCAGGGAGCTGATGACAGAACTCGGGGCGCTGGGCCCTGAGGAGTGACCTGTGTGCACAAGGACGGGGTGCTGGGCTGGGAGCTCCCGTCCATGTGCTGACCCCATGCAGCCTCTGGAAGCTCCATGGCAACTGACTCAGGGGGAAGAACCAGGGATGGAGCTACTTACTCTCCAAGTGAATGGCTCTGCAGCAGAATGGAGTCCCCGGCCCTCAAGATGCCCAAGAGGAGGCCAGACACCCACAGAGCCAGGGTTGTGGGCAGCCATGCCCGGGCCCTCTCCAGAGACCGGTTCTCTGGTTTTGGACTCCCAGCTCTTCTCAAAGCTCTGTGTCAGTCCAGAGAACAGAAACCTGACCAAAGCTGCTCAACAGTCACTGAGCACACACAACTCCCCCTGCTCTAAAGCCATGCTGATCCACCTTCAGGCACAGCTGGATCTAGGGGCATGAGCTGCATTTCTGGGATCTGATCCATGCTCACTTTTGCTCTGCTGTCTCCTGGTAACCCCCATTCCTGGAAGGTCTGTCATCCCAGTGACAAGATGGACACCCTCACCAACAGTGACACTCTCTCATGTCCCATCTCTAAGTCCAGCAGGTGAGAGTGTCACCGTCTGGACAAATAGTAGGAGTCAGTCACATCTGACTCCAAACATGTCCTGGGCACTGTCTCTGGGTCAGCCTGGTCCCCACGTGAGGATGAGGCCCCTCCCTGGTCAGGCAGCAGAGCGGGGGAGGGAGCTCCCCCACCTGAGCAACTGAGCTCCGCACCTCAGGATGTGGCCCTGGGGCCCGCGCTCACTTGTGGGGTCCCGTCACGTGTATGAGGACCCTGGCAGCCCTTTCCATGCCTGCGCCCCCCGCCCATACAAGCACATCCGGGCTCCAACCAGAGTGGAGACCCTGTTCAGGACCCTATTTCCTACCTTCCAGACCAGGCACGGTGGGACTCACCCAGGCGCCAGACTGGTCCATGCTGACATCAGGCTGGAGCAATCGAAAACGGTTTTGTGTCCCAAGCACTTTCACGGCATTTGACACTCTCTCAGGAGAAATGTGAGAGCCCTGGCATGCGGATCACCAGCAGAAAGGGAGGGCTGGCTCGGTTACTGCTGTGCTGCAGGACCCACGGCCCCCTGGGGACTGTAGGTAGAGACATCCGCCCCTTCCGCCTGGAAACGCGCTCCTTGGGCCCACCCCGCGGGGTCAGTGGAGCAGGAATCTCGGGCACCGGCACACCTGCTCCCTCTCCCTGCACCTACCCATGCTCGCAGGTGATTTCCTTTGTTTTCTCATTTGGAGAAGCTGAGGCTCCGAGAACCCAAATTAGATAAGTCATCCATGTGCTGGGTGAACAAACTCACGTGCTGTGGCTCTGGAGCCCACGGGAGCCGCCCGAGGTCAGAGCGCGCAGGCAGGTGCGGGGCCGGTGCGCCTGCAGTCACAGGTAGCGCAGTGGACGGCACAGGCAGAGGCACGGGGGCCGGAGCAAGTGCCAGCCCCGATCTCCACGACTCCAGACTGAGCGAATTAGAGGAAAAACTCAGACACCTGCGAGTGAATAAGGGCAAGAAAAATCTGACTGATTAGGACGTTGCTCAGGTGACATTGTTTTCCTTCCCTGATGTCTGACGACGTGCTTACAACGTGAGTCGTGAGCGAGCAACACAAAGAAAGAAAACAGCCCCTTCTCTAGCCCTGGCTGGTGTAGCTCAGTGGATTGAGCGCGGGCTGTGAACCAAAGTGTCACAGGTTCGATTCCCAGTCAGGGCACATGCCTGGGTTGCAGGCCATGACCCCCAGCAACCGCACATTGATGTTTCTCTCTCTCTCCCTCCCTTCCCTCTCTAAAAATAAATAAATAAAATCTTAAAAAAAAAAACAGCCCCTTCTCGCGCATCAGAACAGACCTTCCTGCTGATGGACTCGGCCTCACACAGTGGGACCACCAGCCCCTTCCTGGGTCCCCTTGTGCAGTGCGCGACCCGCCTCGGTGCATGCCGCTGTCCGTGGGGCCAGAGTGGGGTGAGGCTCGGCCTTCCCTCCCCACGCACAGGCCCTGCCCGAGGCTGCTGAAGTGGCATTTGATTTCGTGCGACTCCCTACGAGAACATCACAGATTGTTTAAGATCAGTTTTGGAGACTTCCAGCCAAGATGGAGGCCTAGGTAGACACACTGTGCCTCCTCGCACAACCAAAAGAAGGACAACAACAAATTTAAAAACAAAAAACCACCAGAGCTGACAGAAAATCGAACTGTATGGAAGTCCTATAACTAAGGAGTTAAAGAAGAAACACTCAGCCAGACCAGTAGGAGGGGTGGAGACGGGCAGCCGGGCGGAGAGGACTCACAGCAAGGCGGTGGCTGGCAGACCCGGCGGTCCCATGTTCACATGCAGATAAACCAGGAGGAACAACTGGGGAGCGAGACAGACGGCACAACCCAGGGCTCCAGTGCAGGGAGATAAAGCCTCAAAGCCTCTGACTGAATAAACCTGTGGGGTTTGTGGCGGTGGGAGGAACTCCAGCCTCACAGGAGAGTTTATTGGAGAGACCCACAGGGTCCTAGAACGTACACAAACCCACCCACCCGGGAAGCAGCACCAGAAGGGCCCAGCTTGCTTGTGGGTAGAAAGTGACGGAAAATCAGCAGAGAGCTGAACAAGTGACACTGTTCCCTCTTAGACTCCTCCCCCACATACAGCATCACAACACAGTCATGTGGGTTGCCCCACCCTGGTGAACACCTAAGGCTCCATCCCTTGCTACCTAACAAGTGCACCAAGACAAAAAAATATGGACCAAATGAAAGGACAGTTCAAAGCTCCAGAAAAAATACAACTAAGCAAAGAAGAGATAGACAGCCTATCAGATGCACAGTTCAAAACACTGGTGATCAGGGTGCTCACAGAACTGATTGAATATGGTCACAAAATAGAGGAAAGAGTGAAGGCTACAATAAGTGAAATAAAGGAAAATGTACAGGGAACAAATAGTGAGTGAAGGGAAGGAAACCAGGACTCAAATCAACAGTTTGAAGTGGAAGGAAGAAATAAACATTCAATCAGAACAGAATGAAGAAACAAGAATTCAAAAAACTGAGGAGAGGCTTAGGAACCTCCAGGACAACTTTAAATGTTCCAACATTCGAATCATAGGGGTGCCAGAAGTAGAAGAGGAAGAGCAAGAAATTGAAAACTTATTTGAAAAAATAATGAAGGAGAACTTCCCCAATCTGGCAAAGGAAGTAGACTTCCAGGAAACCCAGGAAGCTCAGAGAGTCCCAAAGAAGTGGGACCCAGGGAGGAACACACCAAGGCACATCATAATTACATTAGCCAAGATTAAAGAGAAGGAGAGAATCCTAGAAGCAGCAAGAGAAAAGGAGACAGTTACCTACAAAGGAGTTTCCATAATGCTGTCAGCTGATTTCTCAAAAGAAACTTTTCAGGCAAGAGGGGGCTGCAAAGAAGCATTCCAAGTCATGAAAGACAAGGACCTACATCCAAGATTGCTCTATCCAGCAAAGCTTTCATTT